GAGAGAGAGAGAGAGAGAGAGAAGGGGGAAGGGGATAGAGAACACAATACATACATGTAGATAGTGAACCACTGGTATGATGCGAACAGCAGATGTCGAAAGCACACTTTCAATTTCTAAAATTAATTTATACTCTCTTCTCTTGTCTTCTCTTCTCTTATCCCCTCTTCTCTTCTCTTTTCTTTTCTTGTCTTCTCTTCTCTTCTTTTCTCTTTTCTTGTCTTGTCTTGTCTTCTCTTCTCTTCTCTTTTCTTGTCTTGTCTTCTCTTCTTTTCTCTTCTCTTTTCTTGTCTTGTCTTCTCTTCTCTTCTCTTCTCTTCTCTTCTCTTCTCTTTTCTTGTCTTCTCTTCTCTTCTCTTTTCTTGTCTTCTCTTCTCTTCTCTTCTCTTTTCTTGTCTTCTCTTCTCTTCTCTTCTTTTCTCTTCTCTTCTCTTTTCTTTTCTTCTCTTCTCTTCTCTTATTTTTATCTTATCCAAGAGACGTGAAGCCGGAGAACACCTTCGTCCTGAGTTCGGGTCACGTGGCACTGGGAGACTTTGGCTCTGTCTACGACACGACCAACGACACCGAACTGCCTCATAGGACATGTGGAACCTACGTCACCAGGCCCCCGGAGGTATCGGAATCTGCAGCTGCTGGGGCTCACTAAAGTTAAAGTACATCATCATCACCATCATCCGGTGCCTAGCCGACTAGCGTGGGCGATCATGGACCTCCACTTCACTCTGTCTTGCGATGCAGCGATGGTGTCTGTCTTTCTTGCTGTTCCCTGACCATGTTGTCAACCTGTCCAGTATCTTTTCCTTCTGTTTTCCTCTGCCTCTTTTTCCATCAAACCTGCCTGTTGTTGCAATAATATTCTTCAATGCTTCTTTCTGCATTGTGTGTCCAATGAAATTTGCCTGTCGGTTTCGCATATTCGTCATAAGCTGTTGTCTACAATATGCTTCTACCAAGACTTCTTCAATTGTTTTTCTAGCTCTCCATGGGATACACAGCATGCGTCTTATGAACCACAACTCTGTCACCTCAATTGTTCTTTCCAGATTGTCCATGCTTCGCACCCATATAACAGGATTGACTCGAATAGACATGCACAGTCGAAATTGTCCGAGGAGGCGGCCACCTATAGTCAGGGAGAAGCTTAGTCTTAGACAGGTGGACGTTATGAACAGTGTCATATAATATATTTTTTTTAACGGAATGGAGAAATGGGAAGTGGCTATTTGTATAGATGATCGTCTTATTCAGGTGACCGTTCAAGCAGGCACTACTGTATTTTGAATGAGTGGTCTTTTCTTTAACAAAACAAAAAGATAAACAAACAAACAAAACCAAAAAAACCCACACAAAAAAACAACGACAAACAAACAAACAAGCAAGCGAAGGGGGAAGGGGTAAGAAAGTGTCTGTCTTGAGGCTTCTCTGCGAAATAACGAACAAAATAAATTACACATATTAGGGCTGTACCCCGGTAGCAAACCCGCTCGTGCTCACAAGCCCCTAGTTCAAGTCGCAAGCCTCAAATCAGTAGGTCAAATCATCAAATCAAATCACCAGCATGATAAGTTGAGTCTAGCGCAAACTGTAACCTCCTTGGTCTAGTCTAAACTTCAAGTCCACAGCAACTAGCAATCCGCGAAGCCACTCGTGTCAGGCCCCCTCATCATCCCTACCCTGCTTGCAATCCGCGAAGCCACTTACGTCAGAAAAAGAGAGAGGGGGAGAGTGAGAGATCTCGCCCCACAGAGTCACTGCACGGCGTGGCGCTGTAGTTTACTCGATTAATCGAGGCCTGCGCAAGCCTCAAGTCCCGTCCGCTGCCACAGGCCCCACAATTCACACAGTACTGATTTGCGCTAGGCTTACAGATTTGCCCCAGGACAAGCTCCAAACCTGACCTGCTGACTTGTACTGTCTCGATACACCGAGCGAGCGGCACGGGCTCGATGGCGTAGGACCGTCTTGATGGCGACAAGACAGTCCGATGTGTTCAAACAGCAAGAGAGTACTGTGCGCTGTGTGAACTTTGAACCGTGGAGGAAGGGAGAGGTTGGGCTTGTTTTGGTGCAAGGCGTAGAGAGCTGAAGTTATTTTTAACTTCCCGCCGTTAATCAGCTAAGCGAATGGATAAGTGAGAGGGAGCGTGGTATTGTAGTAACAGAGACCTAGGTTTCTGATAATAATAAGAATAAGTAGACTTAGATTACCCTAGAATGGAGAACTCCAGGGGTCGTTGTGATTGGCTTTTGTATCGTACGTATGTAACCTATTTTGTAGATGTGTTACACTCACAGTGACATAATACACAACATTTAGGAGACGGGCTAGGCCTACTTCAACCCAATGTCAGGGCCAACCTGGGCTGAGAGGGAACAACGCCCCAGCAGAAAGACGGAGGTTCTCAGTAAAATTTCTCCCCATACGGGAATCGAACTGAGGTCTTTTGCGTGCGACGATGAAGCGCTTGGCTCGTGCACATTAAAAATAAACAGGCCTTAACATCATAAGAATAGCCGATCCAATATTAATTTTTAAGTGCATTGAATAGAGCTTTTTGTTTTTTACAACCGAACTATGAAAAAACAACAACCGAACTATGAAAAAACAACAACCGATCTTGCACTTTTGGTGCAAGCCTCTCAACGCAAATAACCAGAGAATCTATAATATGTACTGAGCCCACTGCCACGAGAGTTCGCGACGTCACGACACAGTACAGCAGGACTGTCCGCGAGTCACAACTCACCGGAAGTTCACTCCGGTAGCAAGCGGGAGGCAAATCAAACCACAAGCCTGCTCGCAAGACTCTAGCGCAAGACTTCCGCTGCTTTACAAGCCTTCGATTAACCGAGCAGAATCCAGCCCTAACACATATCCACAGGTGCCCCCCTTTTTTTTTTAGGTAATTGTTTCACGGCGCCCGCAACTGCAGTAGGTCATATGAGCGCGCGGGACATATTAAACATTTTCAGGTGGTAGGAAATTTTGAATTTTGCCCTTGTGGCGGTCGAAGCCTACTCTTATCGATTTTAGACCGCCAAGGGATCTTTAACGTGCGCAACTTGCACCCGGGCCCTTCGAGATTTTTCGCCCTTGTCCGAGAAGGCTAGGTGTAAATTTTTTCTTCCGGAAGATCAAGGGTGTGGCAGAAAGACAGCAGTAAGAAGGAGCCAAGGAGTAATATTAGAAAGGCTGCAGAAAGAGTCAGGAGCCCAGAGGAGGGGGCAAAGTAGGCTACGGGGGTGGGGCCAGAAAGAGGAGACAAAAGCAGACGACAGAACATTGCTAGGGAGCAGGAAAGGAGGTGAAAGGAGACAATTTTAGAGAAGAACATTTTTCGATCGCTACCCGGATTCGAACCCGGGACCTTTGAATGAGAGGCCAACATCTTAACCTCTAGGCCACAAGAGCCCCCTAAGGGTGCCCTTCTAGCTCAGTAGATACCACCATTTTACGGCTTTCTTTTCTTTCTTTTTCTTCTCTTTCTTCCTTTCCGCCTCCTTCTCTCTCTCTTTTTGTTTGTTACATTCTATTTCCGTGGTGGATTTTTCGAAGAAAAAAAAAGTATATTGATATCAGTATCAGTTCATTAAAGTATCACTTACATTAAGTTGAGCATGCATCTGAAAGAAAACTAACATTATGTTTTGTGAACATGAGAACATGATATTATTATGTATTTTCAATTCCCCCCCCCCCTTTTAGTCCTTCTCGTCATGGCGGCGAGGGTGTCGCAGGTTTAAAAAAAAAAATATTATAAGACTACTTTTATTATGCCAGGTATGGTCTAACCAGGGATACAGTTACAGCGTGGACATTTGGGAACTGGGCATCTCCATGTGCAACTTGATCACCAACAAGGTGAGAGCGAGAGTGGGGGTCAGAGTTTGGGTGTCACAAGTCGCAGATCCAGAGCCAACCCCAGATTAACGTGTGGCTTTTTGGTAAAATCAGGCGCTCGTCAAAACAATGAAATCAAAGACACCTGCTTTTTTCTGCTCATTCTACAATTTTTATTTATTTATTTATTTTTCTGGCTCCTTCCATTACATGTCCATTTAAAAACATATTTCTGTTTTGATTTTACTGAACAACGTTGACCAAAGGCAACAAAAAAAAATTGTGTATTTGCAGTTTCAAAGGACACTACAGCTTTCGAAATCTCCAAACTTTGGAGGCCTTTTTTTCGCTAATTCTACTTCTTGTACCTGGTGACTTTCCACTTTTTTTGGGGAAAAATCGAATATTTCGAATTCTTTTTAAAATGAATGATACTTTCTTTAATAAAAATGAAAATCAAGGCAAAGGAACAGGCTGCTTCAAAATTATACCAATATCTCCGTGCCCAAAAATTGACAAGCGCCCGATTCCACCGCGCTATGACACAATATATTATATGTACAATAGTGAAAATAGCAAAAACTGGTTTGTCGCATCAGCCATTTGATCAACATTCCGACCCACCCAGCCCAACCTGAAACTCTCTCTCTCTCTCTCTC